TTCTTGCTGATTTAACCATAACTTAGTGTTCTGCGTTTATCACTAATACCGTGAATACTATTTTTACGGGGTTTATTCCCAACAAGTGGTATCAGAGCCAAGGTTCTATCTGAGTATGCTCTGTGGTTGCAGCACAGTCTGAACTTCCACATCAGAAAAGAATTACTTTGGTCTCCTAATAAATAGTATTTGTATTTGTGATAAACGATGGAAGCCAACACTAGTAGAATGGTTACCTTGAATGACACAAATTATGCCATTTGGAAGGGCAAAATGTAAGATTTGCTCTATGTCAAGAATTTTCATCAACCTATTTTCGCTACTGTAAAACCTGATAATAAATCAGATGAAGAGTGGAATCTGTTACACAGACAGATTTGCGGCTTTATTAGACAGTGGGTTGACGATAATGTTTTGAACCATATTTCTGGGGAGACACATGCTCGGACCCTATGGGAGCATCTTGAAAGTTTGTATGGCTCGGAAAACTGGAAACAACAAGATGTTTCTGATAAAGCAGATGTTGGGTTTAAAATACCACGATGGTTCCGTGATGACAGATCATCTGAATAATTTTCAGGGGATCATGAACCAGTTATGTGCTATGGGCATTAAATTTGATGAAGAAATTCAAGGCTTGTTTCTACTTGGTTCCCTACCAGATTCTTGGGAAATTCTTAGAACTTCATTATCAAATTCTGCTCCGGATGGTGTGATCTCTATGGATCTTGCCAAGAGCAGCCTTCTAAATGAAGAGATGAGAAGAAAATCTCAGGGTTCCTCCTCATCAGATGTCTTGGTGACTGACTCTAGGGGGAGAAGCAAGAATCGGGGTTCTCAAAATAGAGAACATAATAGAAGCAAATCCAGAAGCAGACTTAAAGATATTGAGTGCTATCATTGCGGGAAGAAAGGGCACACAAAGAAGTTCTGCCGGATTTTGAAAAAGGAGAATAGAGACAAGGAAGAACAGAAAGAAGATGGCAATCGTGTGGCCACCGTCACTACAGAAGATCTTGTTACAGTCCTTGATGCGGATCTGATAAATATTGCTTGTGATGAGTCAAGCTGGGTTGTGGACAGTGGTGCCGCATCTCATGTGACATCAAGGAAGGAATTTTTCTCATCATATACTCAGGGTGACTTTGGAACTCTGAGTATGGGTAATGAGACTGTATCTAGGGTGGCTGGTGTTGGAACGATTTGTTTGGAAACTAGTATTGGAACTAAACTAGTTTTAAACAATGTAAAGCATGCACCTGATGTTCGTTTGCACTTGATCTCTGTTGGTGTTTTGGATGATGAGGGATATGTCAGTACCAATGGTGCTGGAAAGTGGAAGCTCACTAAGGGCTCCATGATTGTAGCTCGTGGGGAAAAGCGTCGTGGTCTATACTGGACTACGGCCTCTACCTGTGTTGATATGGTGAATGCCGTTGAGAGCCATAACTCTTCAACGTTATGGCATAAGAGGCTAAGCCACATTAGCGAGAAAGGACTAAATGTTCTGGCCAAAAAGAAATTGTTGTCAATTTTTGAAAGTGCAAAATTAGAAAAATGTGAGCACTGCTTGGCTGGAAAACAAAAAAGAGTTTCTTTCCAGTCTCATCCTCCTTCAAGAAAGACAGAGTTGCTTGAGTTGGTGCATTCAGATTTATGTGGTCCAATGAAGACAAGAACTTTGGGTGGTGCACTTTATTTTGCTACTTTTATTGATGATTGTTCGAGGAAACTTTGGGTCTACATCTTGAAGACTAAAGACCAAGTGTTAGGTGTCTTTAGGCAGTTTCAGGCTTCAGTTGAAAGAGAAACTAGAAAGAAGCTGAAGTGTATTCGTACTGATAACGGTGGTGAATATTGTGGACCGTTTGACGAATACTGCAAACAACAGGGTATCAGACACCAGAAGACTCCTCCTAAGACTCCTCAGCTTAATGGTTTAGCAGAAAGGATGAACAGGACATTGATGGAAAGAGTCAGATGTTTGCTTTCTGAAGCAAAGTTGTCGAATTCCTTTTGGGGTGAGGCTTTGTTGACCGCCGCACATGTTATTAATCTATCCCCTGCGGTTGCTTTGCAAAGTGATGTTCCAAACAAAGTTTGGTATGGCAAGGATGTTTCCTATGACCACTTGAAAGTGTTTGGTTGCAAAGCTTTTGTACATGTGCCTAAAGATGAGAGGTCAAAATTAACTGCCAAGACAAGGCAGTGCATCTTCATTGGTTATGGCCTTGATGAGTTTGGTTACAGGCTATATGATCCAATTGAGAAGAAGGTTGTGAGAAGCCGTGATGTTATCTTCGTGGAGGATCAAACCATTGAAGATATTAACAAAGCGGAGAAGTTAAAATCTTCAAGCTCTGAAGGTTTAGTTAATCTTGATCAAGTTCCTCATACAAATGGGGATGACGCTGGTGGGCTCAATAATGATGGTGATCCCCAGAACCATATTCCAGATCAACATATTGATGGTGATGGGGATAACAATGCTAATGTTGATGAGGTAGATGCTCCTACTCACGAAGCTGTGGACGAGTTAGATATTCCACTCAGGAGGTCTTCTAGACCTCGTACTCCTTCCTCCCGTTATTCACCCAATTAATATGTATTACTCACTGATGAGGGAGAACCTGAATGTTATGCGGAGGCAATAGAAGATGAGCACAAGGATCAATGGATTGAAGTCATGCAAGATGAGATGAAATCACTGCATGAGAACCATACTTATGAGTTGGTGAAATTGCCTAAGGGCATGAGTGCTTTGAAGAACAAGTGGGTGTTCAAAGTTAAAGCTGAAGAACATAGTTTGAAGCCCAGATACAAAGCTAGATTGGTTGTCAAGGGATTTGGTCAAAGGAAAGGTATTGACTTTGACGAAATATTTTCTCCTGTCGTGAAAATGTCCTCCATTCGGACAGTTCTTGGTTTGACTGCTAGTCTTGATTTGGAGATTGAGCAAATGGATGTGAAGACTGCTTTTCTTCACGGTGACTTAGAAGAGGAGATTTATATGGAACAACCTGAAGGCTTCAAGGCAAAAGGTAAAGAAAATCTTGTATGCAAACTTAAGAAGAGTCTATATGGATTGAAGCAAGCTCCCAGACAGTGGTACAAGAAGTTTGAGTCTGTTATGGGGGAGCAAGGCTACAAGAAGACTTCTTCAGATTATTGTGTGTTTGTACAAAGATTTTCTGATGACGATTTTATCATCCTCTTGCTATATGTGGATGATATGTTGATTGTGGGCAGGAATTCTTCTAAGATTGACGAATTGAAGAAATAGTTGAATAAGTCTTTTGAAATGAAAGACTTGGGTCATGCTAAGCAGATTTTGGGCATGAGAATTACTCGTTCGAGAAACGAAAGGAAGCTTTACTTGTCACAGGAGAAGTAAATAGAACGTGTACTGGAGCGCTTCAATATGCTTAGTGCTAAGTTGGTTCGCATACCTCTTCCTGGTCATCTGAAGTTGAGCAAGAAGATGTGTCCAACAATAACGGAGGAAAAAGAGAGAATGGCCAAGATTCCTTATTCCTCTGCCATTGGAAGTTTGATGTATGCAATGGTATGCACTCGACCAGATATTGCTCATGCAGTCGGTGTTGTTAGCAGATTTCTCGAAAATCCAGGAAAAGAGCATTGGGAAGCTGTAAAGTGGATACTCAGGTATCTAAGAGGAAGCTCACGTGAATGCTTATGTTTTGGAGGATCAAATCCAATTTTGAAGGGCTATACAGATTCTGATATGGCAGGTGACCTTGATAACAGAAAATCCACTACTGGATATTTGTTTACTTTTTCAGGGGGAGCTATATCATGGCAGTCGAAGTTGCAGAAGTGTGTCGCACTATCTACAACTGAAGCGGAGTATATTGCGGTTACTGAAGCTGGCAAAGAGATGATATGGCTCAAGAGATTTCTTCAAGAACTTGGATTGCGACAGATGGAGTATGTTGTCTATTGCGACAGTCAGAGTGCAATAGACCTGAGCAAAAACTCCATGTACCATGCNAGTCGGAGTGCAATAGACCTGAGCAAAAACTCAATGTACCATGCGAGAACAAAACACATTGACGTCAGATATTATTGGATTCGTGAGCAAGTGGAGAATGAATCACTTCAAGTCAAAAAGATTCACAAGAGTGAAAATCCTGCAAATATGTTGACCAAGGTGGTACCAAGAGACAAGTTCGAACTATGCAAAGAACTTGTCGGCATGCACTCAAACTAGAAGATAGTGCTACCTCCTCTAGATGAATGAGACCGGAGGGGGAGATTGATATGATGTCCATCTCATTCAAATGATTTGGTAGCCAATTTTGTTGACTTGGTTTGGTTTGGTAGCCAACCTTGTTGAATTTGTATAATTTGGTAGCCAATTTTATTGACTTGGTTTGGTTTGGTAGCCAACCTTGTTGAAATTGTGAAAAGGGTGTGTAAATTGTCAAATATTGTAGGCTTTAGAAAGTGAGGTTTTGGCTATAAAAGGAAAGCTTTAACTCTCATTTCTATACACCAACAAAGAGAGAAAAAAGAGAGCAAGGTATTCCATAAACTATAAGAAAATAGTTTGTGAAGAAAAATAGAGTGTGATAGATATTGTAGTGAGGTGAAAAAAGCAAAAAAGTGTTTATTTCTTTTGAGGGTGTAGTGGTCTTAGGAGTATTTTTTACTCGTTACTACACAGTGTAAAATTTCTTGCTATAGTGATATCAGTTGCTCTTCTTGGCCGTGGTTTTTTCCCTTATTCAGAAGGGTTTCCACGTAAAATCTTGGTGTCATTATTGTTGCATTTCTATTCTTGCTGATTTAACCATAACTTAGTGTTCTGCGTTTATCACTAATACCGTGAATACTATTTTTACAGGGTTTATTCCCAACACCCACCTCCATGCTTGCAATCTGTCTGATTCCAAATAACTAGAAATACAACTGTTTCAGCTTCTGATTTTTAATGTGTCTGCTTGTAAAATTTCTTCTGCATTGCCTTTCTGTTAATATTCTACATTTCGTTGAACATTTGCAGGGGGAGAATGGAAAAATGTCTGCTAGAGATCCAAATTCTGCCATTTATGTGACTGATTCAGCAAAAGAGATAAAAAACAAGGTTGGGTTTTTATTATGATGTGAAATATATTATTACACACCTTCTCAGAAAATAATTCCTTCTCAAAAAATATAATTTACACATCTCATATTCATCACCATATAACGAGTAAGCAGTTCTAGATTTGTTAGAACCCCAATATGCTTAGGAAGGGATATGCTTTTGTTCTTTTGCTGCTCTCTTACTTTTGGTATCGAAACATTGTACAGAATTCTTTTTATAAGGTAAATAATCTCATTAACACAATCGGGGAAGCCCCATATACAAGTCGTATACCAAAAAGAAGAAAACCTACACCGAAATATGGTTCTCAAAAGTGGCCCAATCCTCTGTACAAGTTGGAACCTCATAAGTACACCAATAAGAAACTAGAAACAAAAGACTGCTTTGCAATTTTACAAAACCTTGTTCCACCCTTCAAAAGCCCTCCTATTTCTCTCTTTCCAAATAACCCACATGATTGCTAATGGGGCAAAAATCCAAGCCCTTGGACATCTCTTTCCTCTCTTGTGAGCCTAACTATGCAACTGTTCCTTTACTGTGTCCGACATCACCCATTGCACCCCAAACAAATTAAGGACCACCCTCCACAAACGATTTGCCACTTGACAGTGCAATAGAAGATGATTTATGTTTTCACCCGAGCTTTTCCACATGAAACACCAGCTGATACATGTGATCCTTCTCTTTCTCAGGTTTTCCGCTGTCAAAATCACTCCCCTTGCGGCCAACCATACAAAGAAACACACATTTCTCTGTGCTCTAGGGATCCAACAGAGCAATGAGGAAAAATACATTCTTCTCTCCCTAAAATAAACTCTGTTAATAAGATTTAACAATTAATAATCCATCTCTACTCTCTCGCCATCTCCACGAGTAATAACCCATTTCAACATTTGGTTAGCTACTGATCAGGTTTCAGCTACCACCAAATAAAGAAATAAATAAAGTAAAATAAGATAAGATAGCAGAGAAGTTAAGAAGCTAGGATGAGATCTTGGATTTAGTCAAGTTACTCTATGGTTCCAATCCTAGATGTTAAGAAGTTTCCTTGTCTATAAATGCGACCAATTGCTGTTGATGTGCTTGATAATGAATTTTTCTGCTACTCTCCTTCACCTTCACTGCCTTTTAGATGAAGAACATGCACTATGTCGGAATTTTAGTTTCATTTAGCTGATATTTTGTGAGCAAATTGAAGAGACTTTGGGGCACTCACTATAGCTGTTGGAATGAGTGTTTTTCGTTTCTGTTATTGTTATCATTGATAACTGTAATTGAATTACTAAGCTTTCCAACCTATTGAATAAAAATGATATTTATGACAGACACTCTTGAGAAGAATCTTGTCAGACAATTAATGATAAAGATACTTCTAAATAGTAGATGACTTTCAACAATAATTGTAATTGAATTACACTGTCTGATTCTCATCACTGGCACAAGTGTGTCTTTACCTTTATACAGTCTGAAGTTCAAATTTAACTGACTGAGTCTTCTGTTTGCAGCTTCACATGATGTTTGAGATTATCCAATCAATATATAGGTTTGCTTGTATTACTGGGACAACTGTAGCATTTTTGCTGGACCATCTTGTTAAATCATCTTTGTTACCTTAGTGTCTTCAATACTTACAGTAGTGAGAAATTTTTCTTTAATTGCTTTTCCTTGTCATACTTATTTTTCTCAGACTACCATAGCTTCAATTTGTTCTTTTTAAAGTTCTTGTTTGTGGGGAGGCAATAGCTTTTTTTGTTTCTTATTTTTTGGGGTTTTGGGGGGGGGGGGGGGGGGGGTTATGCCCTAGCGTAGGGGTCCAGTCCCACTACAGTAATTTTGACCTAGGTAAAACCGGAAAGTGAGGCTGTTGGATTTTTTTTTTTTCTGCCCATTAATACCTGGGCAGTGATATATTAATCTTCCGACAGAAAAAACCAAGTTTGGAGGGGCTTGGCCTAAACTCCAATTACAATGCATAGCTTACTGTAAACTTAACCAGTAAGATATAGATGAGGAGGGGGTTTATAGACAAAAAATAAGTTTATTATCCCCTCCTTTTCCTATGTTTAACTAACAAAAAAGTTACATTTTTCATATCTAATTCTAAACGTGGGCATTTGCCATTTATCCATCAGGAATAGTCCTTTAGCATCTTTATGCAGCTGATGAAAGGACGAGTAAATAACTCCCTCTGTTAGATTAGAAGCATCTTTGGCCAACCAGTCTGCCACTTGGTTTGCTTTTCTTAGGCGGTGGCTAATTGTGATATGATCATGATCGGTGTAGCTAATGATATCTCCAAGCTCTCTTCTCAATTTGTTGTTTTGAGTTGCTCTTTGCCTGATCATTGTACAGATAACTAAGGAGTCCATCTCCAATGTAAAATTAGGAATCCTTTGGTTCATACACCATTTAGCAGCAAACTTAACAGCTTTCATTTCAGCCATGTTGCTATTGTAGCATTGTAAAGGAATAGAGAATGCCATGATAAAATCACCATGCTCATTTCTAACTATTCCTCCAATGCCTCCTGTCTTAGTATCCTTGAAGAAGCTACCATCTGTGTTTACTTTTAAGTTACCAACTTCTGGCATCTCCCATTGAATTTTCATCCATGTAACACATGGTTTTAACTTTTCAATCATCTCACAAGCTTTGGACCAAGGAAGATGAATGGTAAGGTTTGGGTAGGATCTCGATACTGCTGCCTTAACATTCCAGAGGATTTGATTGATCATCTTGTATAGATAATATGTAGTGTTTTCGCCATATTTACATGCAGTATAGCTTCTCCATATTTCCCAAATAATACAAATTGGTATAATATGTAACACCATTTTGTGAATCATGTTGTTTGGTTTCCTCTGCCACCATTGAGTAAGAATTTCTCTAATGGTATTAGTATACCACTGAATGCCTAGTGGATTGCCAAAGAACTTCCATAGTCTGATAGCAACCTCACTATCAAAGAACACATGTTTCAAGGTTTCACAATTATGATCTCTACAGCACAGACATTTAGACACAATATGATTCCCAAATTTGTTGATAGTATCATCAAAAGGCAACTTTTTTTTAATCATTCTCCAGCACAAGAAAGATTGTTTAAAAGGAATCGAGTTATGCCATACCTTGTTAATAAAATCATCTTTAGGTTTAGTTGCCCTAACCAAATGCCAAGCTGAATTGTTGGAATAAATACCATCCTCAGTCAAGTTCCATATGGCATAGTCATTTTGCTCACGGTTGCCTCTTGGTATACTCTGAATATGTTGAACTACATCAGCAGGCAGTAGATTAGCTAATTTATCCAAATTCCAGCAGCTATTAGAAAAGAATTCAGACACCAAAGTTTTACTCGGTCTAAAATGAGCATATGTGGTGAGAGCCAACGGACCTTTACCAGTCCAATCATCCCACCAAAAGCTGCAATTACCAGCATTCACTACCCATTTAATGTTGTTTTCTGCCTTCTCTCTTATTTGGATAAGACCTTTCCAAAGATTTGAATTTCCAGATATCCAACATTTAGAGACAGCATGAGATCTCGCACAATATTTAGCTTTGAGAAAACTTGCCCATAAGGATGGACATGTCCTGAATCTCCACCACCTCTTTACTGCACAAACATCATTGACTTCCTCCATACTTCTAATGTTAATCACTCCTTCTTCCTTTGGGAAACATAAATTTTTCCATGAGCTCCAATGGTAGTTATATTTTCCATCAACTGAGCCCCACAGAAATCTTGCAAAATGTTTCTCAATCAGCTTCAAAGTAGTCTTTGGAGGACTCATAGCAGAAAGTGTATATATAGGGAGAGACTGGAGAACATTTTTAATTAGAACCACTTTTCCCCCGTAAGATAACATCTTTCCTTGCCATCCACCTAATCTTTTAATAATCTTTGCCACCATATCATCAAAGTAACATATTCTTTTTCTCCCCACATATATAGGACATCCCAAGTAAGTGAAAGGGAAGTTTTTATCCATAAAACCAGTGGAGTTTCTAATTCTATTAATTCTACCAGCTTTTGTATTAGGAGCAACTATGAAAAAACTTTTATTCGTATTCATTCTCTGCCCTGATGCTTTCTCATAAATATGAATCTGATCCATAATTAGCTTGATAGTCTTATTGTTCCCTGCACTAAAGATAATAATATCATCTGCATAGGCAAGGTGATTGATCTGAGGGCCTCTGCTATTCATAGAGAAAGGAGTGAAGTTATCCATATTGTGCATCCTATTCAGCATTCTGGAAAGAACTTCTGAACCAAGAATGAACAGTGATGGGGAAAGAGGGTCCCCTTGTTTCAAGCCTTGGGCAGATTTGAAGAAACCTTTTCGAGTGCCATTAATAATGACAGAATACCATACATTTGATATCAAGTTCCAAACAATATCAATCCAGATTCTATCTTTTAAACAATGTTTCCCCCTTTATTGTATTCATTAATACCTTCAATAATCTCTTGAGCTAGGAGGACATTTTCAGTAATAAGCCTACCTTTCACAAAGCCAGTTTGATTGTCAGATATAAGCTTGGGCAGGAGATTGTTGATTCTTTTAGCCAAGATTTTAGTAATAATCTTGCTAGAGAAGTTGCTTAAGCTAATGGGTCTCATTTCAGAGAAAGTCTGAGGGGATTCAATTTTAGGAATAAGTGCCAGGCAAGTGTGAGAGAAATATTTGGAGAGTTGTTTCCCATTGAAAAATTCTTGGACAAAATCCACGACATCTTCTTTGATAATATTCCAACAGTTTTGATAGAAAGAACCATTAAAACCATCCGGGCCAGCAGCACTATTTGAACTCATGTTGAAGATCGCATCCTTGATTTCCTCTTCTTCAGGTATAGCAGTAAGCATTTCGTTTTCATCTTCAGTGATGGAGTTAGGAAGACATTCTAGAATGTCCAAATTTATCTCATGGTGAGGTAAATTGAACAACTTTTGATAATGATTGATAGCAGCCTTAGTGATCTTCTCCTCTGATGTAACCCAATTGCCTTTGTGGTTCTTGATTCTGTGAATCTGCGATTCCCTTCTTCTTTCCCTAATAACACTATGAAAATATTTAGTGTTACAATCTCCCTCGTCGAACCATTTGATTTGAGACTTTTGTTTCAATAGGGATGCTTGCATAGATAGCCATCTAACATATTCAGCATGGCATTTGTTGTTGTCCTCTCTGCTCTGATCTGTATTCTGCATCATGTCTACATCTTCCACAGTTTGAGCTTGAAGTTCCCATTTAACAACCTGATCATATACATTACCAATATCGTTTTTGGACCATATAGTCAATTTCCTGCTAAGAATCTTTAGTTTCTGTTGTAATCTCCACATAGGATTACCATGTATTTGAGTATCCCAAACTTCCTTCACAATATGGTGAAAATTAGGTTGCTGAGTCCAGAAGTTCAGGAATCTAAAGTAGCTAATAGTGTGAGCATTGTTATTGATATTTTTCATCAACAATGGCCTATGATCAGATCCAATTCTAGTCAAGTGCCTGACAGTGTTGGTTTGGAAAGTTTGGGCCCATTGATCATTGATGAAAATTCTATCTAGTCTCTTCCACACCCTTTTACTTGGTCTCCAGTTGTTGCACCATGTGTATTTCGGGCCTACAAACCCCAGATCAACCAATTCACAATTCTCCATACAACTGATGAAATCAAAGCTTTTGTATAATCGGTGAGGCATACCACCTAATTTTTCATCTGGATCTGTGATGATATTAAAATCCCCTCCAACACACCAGGGACCATTAACCAAAGGATATACATTTTCCAGACTACTCCATAGGTCTTTTCTCTCCATAGCTGTACATTTTGCATAAACCACAGAGAAGCATAGATCATTATCAATACTATCATGTTTGATTTGCAGAGTAATTTGCTGTTCTTCATTCGCAATGACCTTAGCTTGACAGTTTTGTTTCCAGAAACACCAAATTTGTCCATTAATATTCGCTTGACAGTGATGAAATCCCAGGAATCTCATGTAACCTTGAATCTTGTCTTTATTAGAGAAAGGTTCCATAATGGCTGCGAAATCTATTTTGTTGATAATACAAAGATTTTTGAGCCTGTGAATGGCTTTTTGTGATCTCACTCCTCTTATATTCCATATGATTGTATTAATCATGGAATAATATAGGAAATGATCAATTTTGACTCCTTTCCCTCAAGGGAGGATTATTTTTGTTCTTGTCATTTTTTTCAGTTTTCCGAATTCTGCTTCTGCCTCTTTCTGTAGTAAATATTCCTTCTTTGTTGACTACCTCTCTCATGTGAGTATGAGCTGGATCATCTGGTTGCTTGTTGAATTTATGGTCCCAACTTATTGACTAAACTGTAACATGTTGATCATTATTCCCATTATCAATGTCGGCAGATGATCCTATTTTCTTTTTCTCTAAAGTGTCACCCTCCAAATGAACCACAAGCTTAATACCAGGGTGATTTTTAACTTCTGATGGCAAGCTACTAGAATCAGAAATAGTATGTCGTGCCTCCTGGTTTTCATTATCAGCTTGGTCCCCCTTGTTAATACTCCCCGTGTCCTGGATTGCCTCATTTGTATTGGCCCCAATTGTGTTTTTGGTTGCATTCTCAACCTCTTTTAATTTTTCTCTTGCACCTTCATCACTCTGATGTACCTCTGCAACAAGATTCAAACTTTCCTCCATAATTGTTTCCATAGTATCCTGCCTTACACTAGTGTTTAAAAAAGGTTGGCTCATCTTCCTACTTCCCTTTTTGATAATTGTAGGCTTAAATATGACAGAGCTTTTCTTTTGTGGCATCTTTTTTTTTCTGCCTTTCTTCTTTTTCTTACCAATCTTTTCAGTGCTGCCCAGATCATTCTCTTTAGTGACACCTTGTTCAATGTACTCTGCCTGATGTACTTTATGTATGTTTGTCTTTTTGGTCTCCTCTTGAGTAGTAATTTTATTTTTCCACTGTTTTTTCTGCCTGTTCCTTTTGGTATTTGGTAATTGCCACTGTCCACCATCGTCATTGTCATTGTTATGGTCTGTTGTACCCTCTTTATATTTTCCTTTGCTATTGTCTCTCTTTTCTATCTCTAGTCTTTCATTTGTTGCATCCCCCATGTTCTGCTTTTTACCATTAGTAAGATTGTGAGAGGTATTGCTTGTAACCTCCATTACATTGTCACCAACGAGTTCATCTTTTCCTTTTTTGATTTCTTCCTCCCTAGCCTCAGCAATTTTCTTCCTTTCAATCACTCGACAGTTAATCATATTATGACCGAGCTTTTTACAGAATTTGCAATACTTAGGTATACCCTCGTATTCAAGTTTTTGCACAAACCCCTTTTGAGGCGAGTCTTCATAAATCTGCCCCACATATACATTTTCAGGTTGTGGCTTTAACAAATCTATTTCAATTCTAACTTTTGCCATACTCGGTCTAGTTCTTCCTCTGGTGGCCAAGTCCATTTCAAGAGGAATGCCTATGGAGCTAACAACTTGTTTGACATAGTGCCAAGTATGCATATGGAATGGAAGACCGGGAAGGAGAACCCATACTGGCGCAATAGGAAGGTCTTCCTCTGGTTTGAAATCCGGCGACCACCTCTGCAGCCACATTTGTTGTCCTTCTATCTCAACAACCCTTCTGTACCAGACCGTATGAAAATCTTCTTCATTTGTGAAGTCTAGGAAAACATTGAAGTTGTCGTAGACCCCAATCTTGGCCGAGCCCTTAACAGATATTGTTTCCTTGAATTTGGATCTGATTCGATCGATTTGAGGCCTTGGTCTAAGGAATCTTCCTACAATTGTAAACTTACACTCTTCTGCCATGATGCCGTAGTAATCAGTTGCCTTAAACATCACCGCCGGCATTCCATTGTGAGTCGTTTGTATAGCAAAAACCGACTCCCGTTCATGCCGACTGGAAGTCGCAGTTGAGTTGGGTGATGTCGTGATTTTTGTCGCATAGGATATCTTTTTGTCAATAGCATCAGAATTTGTGTTCACCATAGCAGCAGAAATGTGTTTGCCTTCCAGACGCGCCGGATTGACGCCGTCCGGAGGGTCCATCGTAGTGGAGCGTGTAATGAACTCGCGAAATTAGGTATCCGTTGGGGGCGATACCTATTTTACAAAGCCATATGATTAATCAGTGGTAGGCTGTTGGAGTTTGCTTCCCTTTAGAAGTTATATAATCCAGATTGATTACTCTATGCTACATAACTTATCTCAACAAAGCAGAATAAATGACCCTTTAAATTGTAACTATGTGCAGATAAACAGATATGCATTTTCTGGTGGGCAAGACTCAATTGAGTTGCACAGACAGTACGGAGCGAACTTGGAGGTAACCAATTTTATATGGACCCACTAGCTAATTTCTAGGACTTGCATTTCTATTAAATAACTGTATGTGCCTGAATATAGCATCTTAAGACTGCGGTTTATCTCTGCCTGTTCTCTTCTCGATTGGATCGCTATAATTTTGTATCATCTTTAGCCATGGAAAATAAGAAGAAAGCAAAGTAAAACCCCTCTTCTTGGATATTGTCCAGGTTGATATACCATTTAAGTATCTTGGCTTTTTCCTGGACGATGATGCTGAGCTGCAACGCATTAGAGAGGTTAGTATACATATTTTGTCATCTCATTTCTTTACAATTCAAAACTTACATTGGTAGAACCCCCGGCATTTGGTGTTCTATTTAGTTCACACAAGGACTACCAGTAGTTGAAGTTACCAATAATGGTCATATGCTCGACTTTCAGGAATATGGGTCTGGACGTATGCTAACAGGTGAAGTGAAAAAGAGGCTTACTGAAGTTCTAACAGATCTAGTTGAAAGACATCGACGGGCTAGGTCGTTGGTGACTGATGAGGTAACTAACAGTAACTTCTGGTGTAACCTGAAGTGAACTAGTTCTTCCGAATTTTGAAGTACTCATTCTCCATTTCAAATTCCCTTAGATTATCAAGTCAATTTGTCCTGACTATATCTCAATTTCAAATTACATAATTTTTTCTTTAGTGGCCAAAGAATACAGCTTGGTCTGCTAGCCTAATTGAACACAAGGAGATTGAAATTAGCACCAGTTCTCCATTTTCTTTAACTACATAGGATCCTTTACCTAACTCATTGTTGTTGAGTGGTGTTTTCAATTACTCTTCCTCGGACAAGTCACTAGATATGTCAAGGGTGTGAATTGCTCCTCTTATGAGCACGACATTCCTTCACAGTTATTTCAACCTCTTTGATTATGTGTGCTCAGGGATAAAAACACGAAGGGGGTCGTGAGGTTCTTCTTATTCAAGGTGGTCTTCTTTAGTGCATCTTTTGCTGGTCCAAATTACTGGTTCCGTTATGCTTCTCTCTCGTCGGACGTGCTCTATGTTTTTCTTTCTTTTTCTTTATGTTTACAATTCCACTAATTTACTTGCTTGTTGAATGGTCTATCCTGCAGATGGTAGATGCTTTCATGGCCATTAGACCTCTTCCTAATATGTTCAGCTGAATGGGGGGAATTTTCGTCATGTCGAGATGTTCTTTCTTGAGGCAACTAGTCATTGTTTCTCTCGATTTACTGAGAGGTTTTTCTTCTTTAATTGTAATTTCTTTTTTATTTTCATGTATTTTTATAACTCGGAAAATTCTGTTATATTTGCAAAAACAAAGTCATGAAGGTGGCTTTGCACTTCCGTTCTCTCATATGAATTTTACACTGTTTCGAGGATCCTAATGCTTTAAGTTTGGTCAAATACTAGATTTTCTACCACAACCGATCTTGGTAGAAGGATTTGTGGTAACTCTAACATGATTTATTTTCTAATCATTTGTATCCCTTTTTGTCTGGCATTTTTGGCCCTTTTCCCTAGTTTAACTAAAATATCTCTTGTTTTCCTGGCTGGTATTTGAACTCTGGAGAGCATATTTCTGCCTTTACATAAAGTTACTGCAATTATAAGATGTACACCCTGGGATTCCTGAAAAAATCTTTAGCAATATAGTTATAATTACAGTGTAAAGATTTGTAAAAAGTTAGATGTCTTAAAACTTTTACGAGGTTGAGGATCATTTTGATGGTGGCAAAATATAGTGCAAATGTCAGTATTCGAATCTCTTGAATGAATCAGTCTTATACCCTTCCTACTCTTTGCGACCTGAAGCCGATATTGATGAATATTAGTGACAATGCCAGGTTATAATTAGTGTCAGGAAGCCCTTAACTTAAAAGTCAAATTACTTAAATACCCTCCTAATTTATCCTAATACCCTATTAATTTAGTTATACTCTCTTTAATTAAAAAGAACTACAAATAGGCGCTTCATTCAGACGCCAGTTTTGAGAAAAAGTGGCGCTTCATATTCCTCTTAAAAAGTCACGACCATTAAAAAAATTTAATGGCTACTATCAACTAAGCCATGGCTACACTCACTTAAAATTAACTGCCAATTGGTGTCAGTTCCAGCAAATTTTTTTATTTTTTATTTTGCTTTTTCCCCTTGTGTATGTGTTATGTCCAGATTCAATTTCCTGCTTCTTATTTTTGTCTCAAATTTATGAATGAATTGATAACTCTTAGCATCCTTACCTTATCTATCACCGAGAGATGTTGCAGCCCAATTAACCAATTCGTTTCATTGCGAGGCGCAAGTACGAAGGAGATTTTGAGGAATGTACTTTTGCAAAAGGTTTTGCAAGAGTAGCGTTGAGCCGCTACCGACACACACTTAATTTTGGTCAGTTTTTTGTTATTCCCATATGTAAGAGATATATTCAGTTGACCGGTTTATTAGCCTAATAATATTATTTCGTTTGAAAATGAAAATTTTCCCGGCGTACATGAGTTATGATGAGCAACTTTTTTGTCTCACAATTTTGTGAGACAAAAAGGAGCTTCATACAACTAGTGTCAGTTATATTAGACACAAAATAAAACTTCTCTAAAATAGTTTTCATATATATTATGAATTTTGGACATATATGCAGATTCTCCACAGAATATTACCAAACTACATAAATTTTCATATTCTTCCAAATTAGTACATATGAACTTAAAAAAATATAACCAAGAAATAACTGAATAGACAAAAAATATTAAAAAATTTACATTAATTAGGTAGAATATAATATTGAAAATTCACAGTTAGCTAGTTGAAAGGACCATTTAGTGTGAATATTTCTTCTAAGATGTAATGTAGTGACTAGCTTGGGTTGCTCTCAGCTTGGGTGCTACTCTGGTTGCTCTCATGTTGCAAGTTAATGTCATTTGGGTGATGCACTCATTGATATACTTGAAGTCCACACTTTATGAAGTTATAAAAGATTAAAATTCAAGACTGTGAGGGAAAAATAAGAGGTAACTGATTTAGCAAGCATGAAGATATAAGATTTTATGATTCCATATTAATAGTTTGTTTGGTCAAACTTTTCCAAAGTCAAATTTTCAAAATTATAGTGTTTGGATAAGCTTTTAGTAGAAAAAAAAAATATTTGAGTAGAAGCAGAAGTAGTTTTAATAATAATAATAATAATAATAATAAAGAACTAAAAAAATTCTCAAGAAGATTAAATAAATCAATTTCAAATCATCAAAAGCCATAGTTTACTAGAAAAAGACTCTCAAACAAAGAATATAAACCAAGGAAACTAACATTATTTATACATAAGTGGAGAGAGAGCGCACAAGTCCGTTTGCATAAAAAATATAAAATGAGAGTATGTAATCTGCATAAGAAAACTAAATCAAGTCAATTAATACATAAAGCCTTCAAACCACGTCCGGTTCCATCTTCTGTAGCAATTCCACCACTATTAATTGTTGTCATCTATCCCACCTTGATAATCAGTAGTCACATTTGCCGCAAAAAAATAAAAGTAATATTAAATAAACCGCATAAAGAGTTGAAATTGAGGAGAAAAAAATCCCATGATAATATATTTTTATATTATATTTGAACTATTTTCCTTTTATGTATACATTCTTCGTTTATGTATAATTTTTACTCAAAGTGTTGTTTTAATAATATTATTATTATTTACAAAAAATATATACCACATACCTCGGCATATACGTGCAACACACGTGCCGAGAAACTAGTTGGAAAAAAAATGTATGTTGTTTAATACTCAGAGGCCGCTTGGTTTAAGTTTTAGGAGATACCGTCTCCACTTGAAAGTCAACATAAGCTTAGGAGATACCATTTTGTTGCTCCTTTTTATTTTTCTTCATAAATAAAAGATGCATATGTTATGTGAAAGTTTAGGTATTATTTTGATGCAGAATGTAGAATAAGAATGTAGAAATGGATTTCTAAAATGACTAAAATAAATCTTATAATGGTAAGAAACAAAATAAGATTTAAGAGCTCATTATATGTGCTTTTCTTTGAAGGCTTCAAGAGCTTCTTTGTACTCTTCTTCCTGCATTCAAAGACCAAGATCCCTAATCCAAAACATCTCGTTAATGAACTCCATAGATAAGTTAACTCTTCAACCACATACTACGATTAACTAACTCTGAGGATTATTATTACTAGAACTTATTATATTATACACAATCTAATGAAAAGAAACAATGAAACAAAATAAGATTTAAAAAAAAAAAAGAACTAACGAAACGATATACTATAATAATATGTAATATTTCAGCTGAAAAAAGAATAAAAAAAATTTACCCAACAGTATACCGCTACGATATTATAATATACAGTAAAATTATACAGCTACACTTCTACAGTGTACTGTAATTATATACATATATACCAAAACTGTATACTATATTAATATGCAAGTTTTCAGTTGAAATTTGAATAAAAACACAGTTACCAAACAGTATACTTCTACAGTAGCATAATATACTGTAAAAATATATAATTATGCTGAATAGTATACTATAATAGTATACATACATACATACATATATATATATCGAACGATATATGGGTGGGGTTGGGTAATTATTTTGTATGAGTAGAATCAAGGTAACTATTTTGGTTTCTATGGTAATCCTGTACATATTATTTTGTTTAAAGGGTAACAAATTAGATTATACAACGCAATAACATGTAAATTAAGAAAGTAGACGTCTTAAAAGGATCCCGTAATTATTTTAATCCCTAAATCATAAGTAATTTTTGATTATCAAGGAAATCATAAGAGAAAGAGGCTCCTCCTCTCTACTAACACCACCCAAATCCACAAATAATTCCCCATCCAGAAGCAATGCCCGACCACCGTCTTAATGACAGCCACCTGGTGACTTCAATCCCACCAAAATCACCAGATATTGATAATACACCTTCTCATCAAATCTTGCTAGAACCAAGTAACTCGTATAGGGACAAATTACTGGAAAAAGTTCCAATCATCCACGAAATTCAAAGTGAAGAAAATCTTTCCCCTACATACATGGATGTGCAACAAACACCAAATATGTCGTGTCTACAAAAGGGAGAGGATACCCTGATAAAATGAATAACCCTATCGGATCAAGACATCCAATGCATATATAAACCCTAGAAATCCTCCGTTATAATCAAATTAATAGGGAAAAGAGTCGCCCATCACTACCTAAGGACAAAAATACAAGCCCTTTGGAGACCTACGGAGAACTTCTTCTTGATAGACCTTGGCGAAGATTATTACACGGTGAAATTCAATAAAGAAGAAAACACCAGGAAAGCACTACAAAATGGACCATGGTTCATCAATGGTTTGTTTCTCTCTGTCCAAAAATGGACTCCCAATTTTGTAGCTACACGAGCAAATCAAAGTTACCCAACTATTTGGGTTTGATTGCCACAGCTTCCAACTGAGTTTTATGATGGAATTATACTGGCCAAGATTGGAAATGCTATAGACAAATTACTAAAAATTGATGCATGCACTTCCGCTACCATTAGAGGTCGCTATGCAAGGTTATGTGTACAACTCCCCCCGGAACAAAAAGTCCAGTCTCACATCCTAATTGGAACACACAAGCAAGTAATTTTATATGAAGGTGATAATAGTTTATGCAAAGTATGTGGCTGCCTAGGACATTGCTCGCACCCAATCACACACAACCTACAAGCAGCCAATGGTGAAGGTCAAGACTCATCATCCATAAAAACTAGCAACGGAGAGCGGCAGCCAGTATTTTTTCCTAAGAAAAAGAAGCCAATCACAAATCGAAGTGAGCAGGTAGGAGCTACATCGAGCCAAAGCACAAGTATAAATGTCAAAAAAATTTATGCACAGGTAAGTTCCTTTTAACACCCAAAAGCTAAATTACGTTGATAAGAATTCTATCACCCCGAAAATACAAAAAAAAAAACTTGCTAAACACACTGTAGAATTAGTTAATAATATTAGTCATGATCTCCCAAACACTAGTTGTGATATTAACTTTAAGAATCCACTTTTATCAAAAGAGCACATGGTTTCCATCCAAAATAATGGTATAGGAAATACCACCAAATCCTTGCATGCTAATACTTCCCCAACAAGGACGAGTGGAAGTAACGTGTCACTCAAAAATACCCCCTAATTCTTACGTCCAAATTATTACACCTACAAAAGAAGTCCTTAATCACTCTACTAATGACTCTACAATACCTAATGAAAACCCGCTTAAGAATACTGCTCTACACAAAATACACCCCAATTATAATACACTGAAAAACACCACTAATACCATTTGCATACCAAGAAATAACCATCCTCACATAGAACACTTGGCATAAATAAACCAACAAATGTCGGAGATGATATCTCCAAAGGATCATGTTAAATCCCATATGCAAAAGCTTTCTTCATGCATGCAAATAGACCATATCATAGCAAATCTCCCAAACCCATCATCAGAAGACACTACTGCTAGCCAACACACCTCTATATTAAACAACCATAACCCCCAAAATGCCTTGAACACCATTCACCTTGAGGAGGAGATACAGACTTGTCCAACTACAACGTCTCCAATGACCATATCTAATGGACAACTTACCACCACTACCCCGTCAACTCCTTTGAACACCATTCACCTTGAGGAGGAGATACAGACTTGTCCAACTACAACGTCTCCAATGACCATATCTAATGGACAACTTACCACCACTACCCCGTCAACTCCTTTGAACACCATTCACCTTGAGGAGGAGATACAGACTTGTCCAACTACAACGTCTCCAATGACCATATCTAATGGACAACTTACCACCACTACCCCGTCAACTCCTTTGAACACCATTCACCTTGAGGAGGAGATACAGACTTGTCCAACTACAACGTCTCCAATGACCATATCTAATGGACAACTTACCACCACTACCCCGTCAACTCCTTTGAACACCATTCACCTTGAGGAGGAGATACAGACTTGTCCAACTACAACGTCTCCAATGACCATATCTAATGGACAACTTACCACCACTACCCCGTCAACTCCTTAATCCACCAGTGATCTATGCTCTACCACCAAACCCTCCCAACCATCAACCATAGTCCTGGATCGAACTGGGGTTATTGGGACATGCAATCTCCTTCAACATGCAGTTCAACTGGCAGGATCAGTCCTCATCATCCAAAAGACAAACTACCTAGCTCAATTGATCTCAGAAAGCATGCACCTTGCCATGACCAACTACATCAAACAGATATGGATGAATAACATCTTGCAACCACTGGACCCATTGATGAACCAAAACCTAGCCAACAACATGCCGAAATATGGGACATACAAGGCAATCCCAACACCCTAATGCTCCAGAATATTCCTCTCAACCTACCCTTATTTACACCAGAGGAACTGTCCATAGTGAACCCCATATCACTTGATGGGTTGTGCAATAAACACCAACACCACAAGTTCCTCAACAGCACTCCTTGATGCAAATAGAAGGCCATGCACAACAGTAGATGGACATGCAAAATCAGGAGCAAAACCAAGAGGATGAGGAGGAGGCAGAGCACCTTTCACATCATGGAGAACCAAGGGCGGCATTCTCAAACCTAAGCGAGGTAAAAATATTAATATTCAAGGAATGGCTGGACAAGAAATGCACCATCAGCTGTCCACTAACACTGTTCAAATGCTCGATAGACATAAGACCCCCACACGATCCAACAGTAGGAAAGAATGTAGTCATTCTAGTACCATCCCACAAGAGGAACATTGCCATAATAATGAGGGAGAACAACCAAAACCACCCCAACCCATTAATGATGAATCAATGAATTAATTTTGTTATTTGGAACATTTGAGGTGCAAACAATGCAAATTTTAGAAGAAATTTTAGATAAATTATGGACACACGTAGGCCTAGCATAGTAACGCTGCTTGAAACAAGGATGGTTACCCATGTCTCAATCTTGGAGGATTTCAACTTTACAGAAATGACTGAAGTCCCAGTAGAGGGGCAATCTGGAGGAATGGTGATCCCGTGGAACCATGCAAGAGTTGTAGTGAACAACTTCACTAGAAGGAATCAGGAAATCCACGTCATAATCGAGGTAAAACCAAACCATAAAACATGGCTTTTTAGTTCGATATATACTAGTACTGACAAGAATAATAGATATAATCTTTGGCATAATATAGAAAACGTGTGTAATCATTATAAAGGTGCTTGGTTATTGGGAGAGGATTTTAATAACGTTATTATGGCACAAGAAAAATTTGGGGGCAAGGCAATGAACCAAAATAGAGCAAAAAAATTCTAGCTAGCCTAAATTATTATAAACTCCTTGACCTAGGTTACAAGGGTTGTAAATTTATATGGTCAAACCTTTAAAGAAAAGGAAAAGGTTGGATTATGGAACGACTAGATAGGGTTTATGCCAATATGGAATGGCTAGACCAATACCCTGAAGCTTCAATAGTACACCTACCTAAGACATATTCTGACCACAATCCTATATTGATCTCTGTAAAGAATAAAAAATCTACTCACATTAATAAACCTTTCCGACTGGAGTCAATGTGGTGCACAAACCCATATTTCATTAATGTAGTTAAAAAAATTGGGACAGTAATGACCTCCTAACAGCCACTAGCTCTTTTGAAAAAAATATTAGGATATGGAGTAGAGATGTCTTTGGAAATATTCAAAAACAAAAAAAATAACTCCTTGCAAGACTAGGAGGAATACAAAACAACCCTAAGTAGTACTAGTTTATTCCAACAACAATTAGAAGAAAAGCTAATTCATAAGTATAATGACATACTCAAGTTGGAAAAAGACTATTGGAAACTAAGGTCTAGGATAATGTGGATGAATGATAGTGACGCAAACACAAAACTTTTTCACATCACCTCTACAAATAGAAGAAGAAACAACAAAATAAATTTCTTCAAAGACTATATGGGCAATTAGATAGATGATCACAAATCCATCATGCTCCATACAGTTAATTACTTCCAAGATTTATTCACAACTTTCCACATACTCTCTAATTGGCATACAAGAACAAATGTAACTCCTACAGACCAAAATATCGACCTTTCGTGCCTAGATTACCCATTAATGGACTCTGAAATCTTTAAGGCAATCTTTTCCTTTAATCCTTATAAAGCACCTGAACCTGATGGTTTGCACCCTTTTTTCTTTCAAAAGTACTGAAAAAATATTAGATAAAAAGTCAATGAGTTTTGTCACAAAGAGTTTAAGGAAAGTCACATTCCAAGAGACATTAATAGTACATACATTTGCCTAATCCCTAAATTTGAAAATGCTAATAATTTACGAAATTTTAGACTCATTAGCCTTTATAATACTATCTACAAAGTCATTAAGAAAATCATCGCCAATAGAATGAAACCTTACCTTACCAAACTAATTGGATCACACCAAGTTAGCATCATCAAAGGAAAAAGAGCTTGTGACAATGCCATCATAGTTCAGGAAGTGATAAAATACATTAGGAATTCAAAATCCAAAAAAGGACATATGATCTTAAAGATATATCTAGAAAAAGTCTTCGACAAGCTAGAATGGTATTTCGTCCATAGAACACTGAATTACTTCAAGTTCCCCCCAAAAATTATCAAACTCATCATATCTTGCATCACTACCCCCAACTACACCATTCTTGTTAACGGATCAAAATCATAATCCTTCACATCAATGAGGGGTATTAGACAAGGTGACTCAATGTCCCCATATATCTTTATACTTTATATGGAAATACTTTCAAAAATGATAAACCACAAAATAAATATTAGGAAATGGGATACTCTAAAAGTTACCCCAACAAGCCCTCCCTTATTTCACTTATTTTTTGTCGATGACCTAAGGCAAGGCAAATACCAAAACCTCACTCACTATCTTGGAAAGCCTTGATAATTTCTGCCAACTATCAGAACAGTCATCAATATAACAAAATCAAAATTGATAGTGTCACAAAATTGCACTTAAGCAGTAAAAATGTAACTATCCTCCCTCTTCAACATTAAGATTAGTGATAATTTTGGTACCTACCTAGGATTTTCAATTGTGAACTCCAACCCCAAACCAAAAGAATACCAATTTGTGGTAGATAATATGAGGGCAAAATTAGGAAGTTGGAAAGCTAAATGGCTCAATACTCCTGGAAGAAGCACCTTAGCTTCCTCTACACTTAATAGTATCACAAATCACATCATGCAATACTCCCTACTTCCAAGTCAAACTCTGAAGGACATTGATAAAGTCCAAAGAGACTTCATATGGAACTCCTCACCAGAAAAAAAAAAGAATATTACACCTTCTCAATTGGAATACCATCACAAAAGACAAATGCACGGGGAGGAGGGGAGGGGGGAGAATCAGAAAAGGCCAAAAGTAAAAACATGGCGCTTCTAACAAGACTAGTATGGAGAATGCTTAACGATACGAATTCTCTATGGGCTAAAGTCTTATCTAGTAAGTATTCTAGTTGTAGGAAAACTAATTTAAACTCCTTTTCTGGAAAAGTATGCTGAAGGGTTGGTATTATTGCAACATAGGTACTGGATGGGATATTAATAACAATTCGACTCTAAACATTTGGGAATCAAACTGGATACCTAATGTGGCGAAGCTTAGAAGCTTTATTGAAGCCCCCCCCTACAACAATACGAGAACAAGATTACAGTGGATAAAATTAGAAACGGGAACCAATGATCATTCACAAAAATATCCTTTAAACTACCAACACATATTATTAACAGTATTAACGCAATTAGTATCTCTAACTTTCCTAATACTGGAAATAATAATAATATATGGAGTCTCACTTCAAATGGCATATTCTCAACCACGTCTTGCTATAAAATCATTGATAACAACGAGAATAACCTAAAAGATTTCACTTGGATCTGGAAATTATAATGCCCAAACAAAATAAAAATACTTATTTGGAAATGCTACCATGATAGATTCCCCAGTAGATTATACCTATTGAAAATAGGGATAAATATTAACCCACTTTGTCCAACATGCAAATAAGGTGAAGAAACCATTCACCATATTTTTTGAGAATGTGACACGATTAGCCACTTATGGTGGGCTTATGGAATTAGTCATAATCGTAAAACCAATAACAACTACTGGATTGATCATGTTAGAGAAACTAATCATAACTTCGCTCATAAATATCTCTAGTGAAAAGAGGTCTTCCCCTTTGCATTATGGCAAATATGGAATAATAGAAACCACAATAATTATAATAATACAATTTGTGTCACGACCCAAACCGATGGGCCGCAACGGGTGCCCAAGTCCTACCTGTCAAACACCCCTAATCATGCGCCTAAGATATAAACCTGAATAACATCTGCTGAATTACGAGAATAATACACATGAAGGAAATTTTCCCAAAAGGCATACATATATATACGTGCAACATACGTAGGGCGAGCCGACAATGCTGCTATAGACAACTATACATCTCAAAACTGGAAGTCGGCAAGGCCACATATTATCCAACTAGACATACTGTCTACAAACCTCTAATGGAAACATAACTGTACAAAGATGAGACTGAGCCACGTCATACCCATATGTATATATACATATATATAAACATATTGTACCAAAATCAAAAGCAGCTCCGGATCAAGTGGAGCATGCCAACTCTCGCTGATCAGGGATCCTAAGAAGGGGGACCGTCAGCTTGACTACCTGCACCTGCGGGCATGAAACACAGGCCCCGTAAAATAGGGCGTCAGTATGAAAAATGTACTAAGTATGTAAGGCATGAAAATTAGTACGTAAAAGACATAGATGAAACATGGAATAAAGAAATACGTCTTTAAATCTGAATAACTTTGTAAATTCTGAGACATTTATAATGTCATGTACGTGTGTATAAATGGCATACCACGCATAGGTATGTGTGTACATAATATCATCAAGTCACTGAGGGCATCCCATCATATCATCTCGGCCACTATGGGCAACATCATCAACATATACCAACTGATCAGGTGGTG